CGATGGTGACTGAGGAAATGATATGAGGAAAATAAATCAGTTTAAACCAGAATTTGGGAGAGAAAAAGAAACATATCCGATTTACAGGCGTTATGCTTCATTTAGCATTGCTCCGAAGTGGGTTTATAGGGGGAAAGATGGAGAGATAAAATGTTTGAAATGAGATTACCCCGACACGAGGTTGGAAGAAGCATTCCCGAGAAAGGGCAGTTTGAGAGAATTGATCAAGACAAGGCGGGGGAATTAAGGGATGAAAACGAGATCAACCGAATTATCCGTACAGTTTCCATCATACTAAAACACAGCCCCCCCCCCCAAAAAGGAGAAGATAATTATGTTCAATATCCTATAATGTATCGTACATACATTCTTATGTCATATTCCATTATAAAGCCTGGGTCACACCAGACGTACGACCGTTTGCCGACTTTTAATAACAAGAAAAAGCTGCGACCTTTCACTAGCAATTTTAAAAAGTTTTGAGTGGGCGATCTGTTGCAGATAGTTTGCTGAGCAAACACCGGGAAATAATCCACTTGACCACAATACCTCTACCATTAACCCAATTAAATCTTGTTAGCCATCATATACATAACTCTGTTTGAGGCAATGTTCGATTCAATTCATATAACATAGTCCGCTTTATTACATTAATAAATTATCACTTTCTAATCATACAAATTCTAAAACGAGCCCAAGATACGCTCTAAGTCTTTCTTTTCATTGTTTTGGATATGTTGTTTACAGTCCCCATACGAGACAGAGTGACAATATGAATTAGCGCAATTACATATCATGATCATGGGTAAAGAAAATCTTAATTATGGTAATGAACTTTTGAGAGAGGTAAATACGAATTCAATCATTAGTAGGCGAAATGTTCTGGTATGCAGTCTATTGTATTGGATATTTGCTTTGTTAATGACTATATTTTATAGGCAACAAGGACATTCGGATAAAAAGGTTTGTCCACTAAATAACACAAACGTCATTACTTCAATGAGGCGTCGTAAACAGGAAAGTGGGTGTGGGGTTTTCTGTTACTGGTTTTAGAAATGAGGGATTAAAAAAAAAGTTATTTAGTTCACTTTCCTTTTTTTTTACAGAGGAAATATCAATAGTCCTTTACGTTAATATTACAAGTTTGTATCGTTTTCTACAGGATATCCACTGTCAATCATCTTTACGAAAAGAAAAACAAATGGACAGACTGACAGAAAAAAGAACGAACGAAGGACAGACATACGTATTAAAGAAGAAGAGAAAAAGAAAGAAGGGCAGACACCAGATGTACAGTAATATAAATAACGAGGGAATCTGCCACAATGAGACATTGAAATTGTAGAGCAATGTATGTTGATCATTTGTTGATGGATATAGATAATGAGGCTGTACCATCATTTCACCGACAAATGCATAATAGTGAAGGTATATCGCCTTTTTCTCTCTACATGTCGAAACCGAGCTCATTTACAAGCTGGGTTTATACCAAACATTGAGGACAAAAGATGAAGACACCATAGCCAAACAGAAAGAAAATAAAAATAATACAGTTTCATATTCTAAGCCCACCTGAGCACCTGAGCTAGCTAGTTATGGTTGTAAATGAATGATGTGACCTCTGATTGAAGAGAGAAACTGAGGCCGATGGACGCAATTTTGCCCCCGCTCACCAAGTTCATATTGCGTGAATGGATGTTACGGTAGAGATCATCCTTAGTTTCAAGGTGGTAAACGTCTATCAGTCTCCGCAAAGATCACAAATTAAGCACTTTCATATAGTGACGAAATTCTTTTCAAAATAATAATTTTTTCTCATACACACTCAGATGACCTCTTTGGTATAAATAGAAGGTATTGAGAACGTCGGGACAAGAAGGGGAATAATAGAGGAGAGGAAAGAATGAGAAGAAGTAAACAAAGAAGAGAGAGAACGAAATTAGAAAGAAGAAGAAGTAAAAGAAGAAGAAGAACAACAACAAGTAAAACAAAAATGGAAGAAGAAGAGGGGGACAAAAAAGAAAGACAATTTAACTCCCGTAAGACGATGGGACAAACATAAAGCGATGTCCAGTTTTATGATAATGTAATTTCAAAGCAGGTGAGATACCACTAGGGATATGCGTTCAAATTTTGTTCTGCCTGTCATAATAAGGCCGCAAGGAAGAAAAAAGCCCATTGACCTAACACTATTCCAATAGCCTTGTGTCTCACCTATTGGCAAGTATGATCATGACCATTGGCATATCACTTTATCTGTTTATGAATCTAATGGCCAATGCAATTAATTTGGTTTTAAATTGCCTTGTTAATTTTTCGAAAATATTATTGTTTGCATACATGATGTATGTTGGCCGTTTCTCATATTATTAGGTTTTAATTGGTCATCTTGTCCAGTTGTTTTGAAATAGTTTGTACATTCTTTGAAATTTCCGGTTTCTATATCTTTATGAATACATGGTCTCGAAGGAGGACTATGGATAGCGCAATTAATACAACCATTATGTATATACACGGGCTCTGTGCCTGTGAGTTCTTTGTTATAGCAAAGGATAGCTGATATACATGATGATATTATTCAATCATCATGTGATTTGATAAGGAGTGATTGGATAAAGTGATATGGCTTTGGGGAGTTGGTGTAGACCAAAAAATGCTAATATCTATCACATGCATATAGTAAAAAGGTTGGGTAAAGCTTGCCCTATGGGAGGGTCATTTTGAGTCCTACCAACTTCGAGGCAATTCATGGATAATTTGAATAATGTTTTGCTCAATCACGATCACAGTTTACTGCAAGTTAAACCACAATCGCCCGAGTTGGTTACTTTTATAGGGAATTTATATCCAATGTTTGTCTTTTTTTCTTTGCAGTATGAAAGAGTGATTATATATAGAAACAAAAAACGGGAACTGGGATAATACATTCCCTGTACTTTTTTAATAACTTTTAACCCATGCTGCAGCTGGCGATACCGACGTCCCGAGACACCCGCAGACCAATAGAGAGCCCAACAGACCGATGCCCCACGAGACCGAATACCTCTAGACATCCCACAAGACCGACACAAATTACATGTATGTCTTCTTGTCACTTTTCAGAGACTTGACTAATGTGCGTTGCAGTCAAATGTGAGAAAATAAAGCTTTAATGAATAATTCTGCTTTGCATAGGAAGTATAGAATCAGTCATTAAATGAAAACAATAACTTTTGCATAATTTGTTAACAAATTTATGGAAGTCTCAAGAGAAGGCTTCATGATATGCATGAACATCTCAAACTTTATGTAAAATAAGAATATAATAATGTTAGGAAACGATAGAAGTACAGTAGATGATATACGTGACTCGTGACATATTTACGTGTTTTCACCCATTTCCGCCGAAGGTCTTTTTCAAATCCCTCTTCCCCTCACAGATAAAGCCCTCGGTCTGATGATAGTTTTCTTTCCCTATGAAAATACCCATTTGGATCTATTCTATCTTTTGCATGAGTAGCATAAAACGATTTGATTTTCCCCGAGTGATTTTATCACTACTGAAAAGCCTGCGATGTGCACTTAAGATCTCTCCACCCTAACGCCAAATTTATCCCGTGCAGGAAGAAAGTGCACTTCGAAGTCGAAGAGCAAAGTGTCAGCATCATTTTCGTCACCTTTGAAGAAGGATTCTACAGATACATTTTTAAAACAAACAAAAGTAGTTACCTTTATTCGGATATCGATCCGGTAATGACATCCACCGTACTGTATTGTTGGGGGCTTCTGCATTGCGATCATTATCAGCGCTTAATGTTTCTGTTTATGTTATCATATATGGTTGTTGATACTCATAAATCCCACAAAATAAGAATGTGAAATGAAATGCCCTTTTACTCTGCCCTAATTTGCTTACAACATTGCTTACAACGAAGAAGATGTGGTAGCCACACAGCCAATTTTAGATTCCCTTCTCGGAAAAGGGAGAATAATGAGAGAGAGAGAGAGAGAGAGAGAGAGAGAGAGAGAGAGAGAACAAGAAGAAGGATATGCGCATTTTTCATATAATTATTTGCCCCCCCCCCACCCGATCAGTTTTAGAAGGAGATCAGAAACATGTATAACAGTACATTTAGATCGTGCTTTTATCATGACTATGGGGACATCATAGGAGACTAACGGCTCAGCGATCGACAAAATAACGTGGAAAAGTGAATCATTTTTTACTATAAACAACAACGTAAAAACAACATGAAACAAACCAGCAATAAAAAAGGGCAATTTTTTTTAACGAAAACGTCATGAATACCAGTTCGCCGAAAACCAAATAAAATGCCTGTATTAAATTTTACACGTGTTCCAACGAGATGGCGGTGAACCTATGACAGTTTCATGAAACGATGCCCTGGACCTCGTTGCATAAAACTTACCATTGATGGTAACTTTACCATCAATGGTAACTTCCATGAAAATCTTGATTTGATTGGCTATGGAGCGATGTTGCCATGGTAGTTGACATTGATGACAAAGTTAGTATCAGTGTTAAGTTTAATGCAACGGTGGCCTGGTGTGCAATTGTTTGACTTTGGAAGATGAACTATCGTGTTATCATTACAGGCAGTCTTTAGTTTTAGTACCTACATGTACAGTGCAAAGATGGTGTGTCTACGATTTATAGTTTACCTCTTTAATATCATGCGAAGAAGACACTGTCATCCAAACTAGACACTGGTGCGTAAATTGATAAAACATTACATATTTTACACTTTATTTGAAGGATCTATAGGATAAACATGACAAAAGCAATCGATTAAGAGTAGCGTGATATCGTCACGCTGTATTACAGATGAATAATGTGACCGAGAGACACAACAGGGGCGTCATTGTTTATGTAGTAGAGAGAGAGAGGGGATGTAGGGAAACATACACACACGAAACAAGAGAGAGAGAGAGAGAGAGAGAGAGAGAGAGAGAGAGAGAGGGAGGGAGGGTTACTTGTTGCCAATTTTTGGTAAAGTTGTTGCCTGTGAATGGTAAAGTTGTTGCAAAAATGGTAAATGTGTTGCTTTTTTTACCGATTTGGTAAAGTTGTTGCCCAAAGCAACAACTTTCCATATGAAAATTGGTAAATGTGTTGTCATCACCATTGACAATACACACGGGCCTGCTCCTGCGTGTATTATCGCATAGACTTTAAAAGAGACTACCAAGGCGCTTGATGGATGCGCATGCTGCATGCATGGAGTCCTACATATATACATGTATGTACAGTTTGACAGAATGATGGTGTTATGGGTGAGTAATTATACTTGTTGCCTTATCATCTTTGTTGTATTGATTATCTTGACTAATTGATTGCCACTGTGACTGTGACTGTGCTGTCGTAGAACGGTTAGTTATAACACTAGTAACAGTAAGATCAAGTAATGTGTACAACTACAAGTCAATGTTAATTAAATCAGGGTAGGCCTAGCCGCCTACATACATTATTGTATGTATCTTCAATAAATTAGCCCTAGGCCTACATCATGTACATGATGTACATGTCAGATCATGCAGGTACTAATATACTATAAATACTAGTACTATAACTGTTGTTTAGTGTTACTGTGTTGTTTGATTTGGACTAGTGTAATGTTAGGTTTGTGTAGTATCTGTAGAGGGTCTAGACAAGGACAGGTACCTAATTTATATAATGTTATTAAGAAGAAATCACTGGGGGAACGAACAGCTAGCAGCTACATCATTAGACGGGGTCCAGACAACTCGCCACAAAGACATCTCAACCCTGGACAACTCGACACAATACCCTGGACATCTCGCCACAATACTCTGGACAACTCGCCATGGTCGAGTTGTCTAGGGTATTGTGGCGAGATGTCCAGGGTATTGTGTCGAGTTTTCCAAGGGCGAGCTGTCTTTAGGGCGAGTTGTCTGGGATTACTATAGGCTAGATCTACATAACATTAGTACTGATTTAGTCTTATTTCAGTAATTATATTCACATACTACAACCCTTGAAAATGTTTCCATCATGTCATAAATCCCGAACATATGCACTGGCGTAGCTAGAGTCAGAAGTTGAGGGGGGGGGGGGCTAGCTGGCATCATACGGGGGCACAGGTCTAGTCAGAAAATTGAATGCAAATTTACGATCAGGGGGGAAGGGGTCTAATCGTCTTCTTTTATCTTCCTTTTCCTTTACCGTTCTTTTTTTCTCTCTTTTTCTTTTTTCTTTCCCTTTTTTTCATTATTCGATCGGAGGGGGGGGGGGGGGGGGGAGGGCCTCAATCGCCTACATGTATGTATTCTAATAATAGATGCACAGACAAAGGGCTCCCCATCATACAACTACAAGACTGAAGCTTTGTTCGAGTGGGGGGGGGGGGGGGGGGGGGTCCATGGCAGTTTCTAAGGTTAAAAACTAATTTTTAAAAAGCCAACCAATCTTGTGTTTTCAGCTAATTTCTTTCACAATACTGGTACTTTGGTTTGTTATACATCCTGATGTGGATAGTTGTGAAATTTAGAACGATAAATATCAACAATTCAAATTTTCAAGTCCATATTGTTTTGATGCTCGTGTATGGGCAAGTCCAAGGTATTTGGTAATTTTGTGTCATACATGTATGTGTTTCATAAGTTATTCTGTAAATATTGAATCAGAATCAAATTAGTCTTTGCTTGGGTAAGCAGAGCAAGTACGTTTTGAAAAGACTTTACATTTTTACATTTTAAAAACTGTATTTTTCCACTATTTGTTAGTCGCTTCTAAGAATGAAATTTCAAATCAACCCCCAAAAAACTTCCCAAAACTAATTGTGGGGGAGGGGGCAGAGGGCCAATTGGCTCTGCTGGTTAATATAGCAGCCCTTTTACGTACCCCTTGTTTTGCAGGGGTGATCTACAGGGGTAACCTCGCTATTCATAAAACGGAAAAGGGGTCACTATTCATAAAGGCATGATTATTTATAAGGACCGCTATTCATAATGTGAGATGAGGGCAGCTATTCATAATTCACATTAAGGGTCATTACATAGTATACAAATAATGAATGGTTATGAGTTCAATAGTGCGAATATGTTCATGAGTTGAAAGATTAACATTCTATTCAACGAGGCGTCAGCCGAGTTGAATAGAATTAACGTTAATCTTTCAACGAATGAAAATATTTGCACTATTAAACAAATGAAAAACATTCATTATTTGTTTTATACAACATCGAAGAAGACCTAATAGAACGTTAATCAACAAATTATGCTTTACTCCTTATAAAGATAAATTAAAGTTCGAGTCAAGCCTTTTCGATTACATGCAGATTGCCTTCGCGTCAGATACACGCAGGGATACGCGCACTATTCATAACACGGGAACAGGGTTGCTATTCATAATACTAGAAGAGGGTCGCTATTCAATTCTATGTGAAGAGGGTTGCTATTCATAATACGAGAAGAGGTCGCTATTCAATTCTATGAGAAGGGGTTGCTATTCATAATACTAGAAGAGGGTCGCTATTCAATTCTATGAGAAGAGGGTTGCTATTCATAATACTAGAAGAGGGTCGCTATTCAATTCTATGAGAAGAGGGTTGCTATTCATAATACGAGAAGAGGTCGCTATTCAATTCTATGAGAAGGGGTTGCTATTCATAATACGAGAAGAGGGTCGCTATTCAATTCTACATGTATGAGAAGAGGGTTGCTATCCATAATACGAGAAGAGGGTCGCTATTCAATTATATGAGAAGAGGGTTGCTACATGTATTCATAAACATGAGGAAGGTGCGCTATTTATAATACAAGGAGAGGGTCGCTATTCATAATATGAGAAGAGGGTCGCTATTCATAATATGAGAAGAGGGTCGCTATTCATAATATGAGAAGAGGGTGGCTATTTATAATACAAGAAGAGGGTGGCTATTCATAATACGAGAAGAGGGTAACTATTCATAATATGAGAAGAGGGTCGCTATTCATAATACAAGAAGAGGGTGGCTATTCATAATACGAGAAGAGGGTAACTATTCATAATATGAGAAGAGGGTCGCTACTCATAATACAAGAAGAGGGTGGCTATTCATAATACGAGAAGAGGGTAACTACCCATAAGGACCAAGAAGAGGGTCGATATTCAATTCTATGAGAAGAGGGTTGCTATTCATAAACATGAGGAAGGGGCGCTATTTATTTGTATTGAGGGTCCGTACCCATAAGGACCGAGAAGAGGGTCGCTATTCATAAAACAAGAAGAGGGTCGCTACTCATAATACGAGAAGAGGGTCGCTACCCATAAGGACAGAGAATAGGGTTGCTATTCATAATACAAAAAGAGGGTCGCTATTCAATTCTATGAGAAGAGGGTTGCTATTTATAAACATGAGGAAGGGGCGCTATTCATAATTTGTATTGAGGGTCACTATTCATAATACGAGAAGAGGGTGGCGATTTATAATACGAGATTATCAAGATTTTTAGCCAAACAAGATATGATTTTGTGACCGTCATGCCATATGCAATCAGTGCTGGCGTCCCCTGTATTATGTCTTTCTTTAAAGGTAAAGACCAGTAATGGTCATGCGATTGCATTGTGAAAGAAACGTTGTGGAATCGATCAGAAAAGGTTGATCATCTAGCATCTAGCATCTGCAAGGTTCTGGAATCATCAAAATGATAGGAAATTTGGCCCATTTGTCGTAAAGTTACAAGCACTATACACAGAAAGATGTATATGGGACTACCCTTTATCTCTCACCAGACCATGAGAGAAACAAATTTACCAAATATATGAATTAGTAGGCGGTTTCCCGGCAAATTTGTTATCATCATGTATTAGTCAAAACATATTCTTTCACATGATTGGTAATGAGAGCTTCCATTTCATTTTTTGAAATTGGGGCGTTTCCAATACTGGTCTTTACCTTTAAAAGTATATATTACCTTTTATCTTTGATAATTATATAGAGACATCCTCATAACCTAGCTAATATATTTGCCCCACTTCTGTGATGACAAAAATAAAGTAAAGCATAACAACTTATCCTATCATAATTTGTCCCCATTGTGAGAAATCTTGCCCCACCACTCTGCCCCTTACTGATCTTATCCTGGCTACGCCACTGAGACATTAAGTAGAACAAGCAGGCCCATGCTATTTTAGAAACTAGTAATTGTTTATACAGCAATGTTTTAGTAGGAAATGGTTTTAATAGGACCTATGGACGTACAAATTATATAGCCTTAGCCATATGTCATATCCAGTGCCAAAAGTCAAGGACAGGCACCCAGAAGCTTTTCAATTTTCGCCAATGTAGAGTTTCAAGATTTTCAATACATACACCTGTACCTCAGGATACTAGTACCGGTAATCATACTAATTAACCTAACTCTATTCATCCACAATCTTGATTTCCTGAAACTTTCCTAACACCAAAAACATTAGGAGTTGGACTGGACCAGAAGCTAAGTAATTCCCTGTAGAGAGTCGGGGAGGGGGGGGGGGGCACTTTGATATTGTGTTTTGTTTGGGGAAAAGGGGGCTTGAACACTTTTGGACCTTTGAGGTTTTTTGCAGTAATGCAATCTGCATATAAACCAAACATTTACTGTCTTTTTTTGTTGGGTGGGGGTGGTGATGATGATGGGTAAGGAGGTCTGATATAAGGTCTAGTTCAACAACAACAACAACAACAAAAATATGTGAGAAATTTGGTTATGTTATTATTTTGGGGGTGGGATATCTAGCCCTTGTAGCAACAAGGGGGCAGGATATAATGATAAATACAGAACAAAAACAGGAAAAATATGGAATGTAAATACAAATATGCGTGCAGGTTCAGAAAAAGTTTAACATTAATCAATTTGAGACATGATAAATTCAAAGCAAACACGGAAAATACACGCAATAATTAATCAAATCCATTTCTGCATGCATTCTGGTTCACACACGATATATAAAGAATCAATAACTTTAAACAGCCAAACCAAAATATAAAATTACAATAAAGTGAACAAACCAAACGAGGTCGACATAAATTGTCATGAAACAAGATAGATAATTGCAGAACAAACACATCATTACATATGAAATATCCCCAGCCCCCTGCCCTTTATGCCAATGATGACAACTCGGACATTCAGATGTCAGACATTTATATTTATTTCCGGGGGGCTGATTAATGATTGGGGGCCCGGGATGATGGGTTGTTTAGATTACTGGGGCATGCCTTTTTTCTTTAATTGTTCAGAAATGTATGTTTTCAATATAAGTTTTCAACAAATATTCAGGGCCATGAGCC